GGCCTGGGCGGCACCTTGGTTTATCAATCGGAAACTCATTCACAGGCAAACGGCCAGGTGCCTGTTTCCCTTGCGCTGGAAGCGGGCATGTATTTGCTGAAAGTGAAAACCAAAGGCGGCATGAACACCCTAAAAATTAGCGTGCATGAGCAATAGAATATGCGATCTTTTTGGCATTCGGTATCCCATTATACAGGCGGGCATGATTTGGTGCAGCGGCTGGGAGTTGGCTTCTGCGGTAAGTAATCGTGGCGGTTTGGGCATAATTGGCTCGGGCTCCATGTACCCCGATGTTTTGCGCACGCACATTCAAAAGTGCAAAAAGGCCACCCAGAAACCCTTTGCGGTAAACGTGCCCATGCTATATCCTCAAATAGAGGATTTAATGGAAATTATAATAGAAGAAGAAGTACCGATTGTATTTACTTCGGCCGGCAATCCCAAAACCTGGACCGCGCATTTGCAGCAGCACGGCATTAAGGTGGTACACGTGGTGAGTTCGGTAAAATTTGCGCGCAAGGCGGAAGAGGCCGGGGTGGATGCGTTAGTGGCCGAAGGCTTTGAAGCGGGCGGGCACAACGGCCGCGATGAAACAACAACCTTTTGTTTAATCCCCATGGTGGCAGAAGCCATAAGCATTCCGCTAATTGCTGCGGGAGGCATTGGCACCGGTAGGCAAATATTGGCGGCACAAGTGTTGGGCGCAGATGCGGTGCAAATAGGCTCTCGCTTTGTGGCCAGTGAAGAGAGTTCAGCGCATCAACTTTTTAAAAATAGGGTAGTGGACGCCAAAGAAGGCGATACAATACTCACTTTAAAAGAATTGGCCCCCGTTCGCCTACTCAAAAACAAATTTTTTGCAGACGTGCAGGCGGCCTATGCCCGAAATGCATCGGCCGAAGAGCTAAAAACCCTTTTGGGGCGCGCCCGGGCCAAACGCGGCATGTTTGAAGGAGATTTGGAAGAAGGAGAATTGGAAATAGGGCAAATAGCTGGAATTATAAACGATATAAAGCCAGCGGCTAAAATTATTGATAACTTGCTGCACGAATACGAAGCGGCTATGAATAACCTCCGCATGCTGAATGGGACGCAGTAAAAAAGGTTTAACTAATCATAAGCTACCCTACACTAATTGGTGGTTGGGATTTGATTGGTGTTAAAATATATTTGGACAATAAATTACTCCTTATGAAAATAATCAGGATTATAGCAGTAACATTAGCACTGTTTGTAACCGGGCAACTCTCTGCCTCTCACCTTTTAGGTGGTGAAATTTATTGGCGTTGTACCAATAATGGTAAATACATATTTACCGTGGTACTGTACCGCGATTGTACGGGTATTTCTATACCCAACAGCGCCACTATAAACGGGCCGCAGGGGCAAATTCAATGCTCTTATGTAACGTCAAAAAGTGGTGATGTTTCACCGCCTTGTCCAGACCCCAACTGGGCCATTACCTGCTCGGCCGGTGATGATGGCGCCATAGAGAAAGGCGTGTACGAAAGCTCTCCGGTAACGCTAAACGGCACTCCGCCTCCTACCGGTTGGGAGTTTAGCTGGACCAGTTGCTGCCGCCCGGGTTTAGAAAACACCAACGCTTCCAATTATTACCTGCGTTCGGTTATGTATCCTTACACGCCTCCTGGAGCAAGCACACCACTCAACGCCAGTACCTGCTACGACAACAGCCCTACCTTTGCTCAGGATGCCAACGGTATTACTTGTCCTGATTTTAAATATACCTTTAACCACTTGCCCTCGGATAAAGATGTGGATTCATTGGTATTTGGATGGGCGCATCCCTGGGACGGGGCAAACTCAAATATTTCTTGGAACACGGGATTTAGCAACACGGCTCCCTTTCCCGATCAATCAGAAAACACCTCCAATGGTCCCAACACCTTAGATCCGCGTTCTGGTGAAATGACGGTAGAAGCATACAGCCCCAATGATGGCTGGTACGCCAGTTGTGTTTCGGTGAAGGAATACCGTTGTGGTCAATTAATTGGCGAGGTTTTCCGCGATGTGCCGATGCACTTTTTGGATGTAACCGATTGCCAATCGAACGCCAGTACGCCTACCGCTGAAATTGACACGGCTGTTTATCAGAACGTTAAGCGACAGGGCAACGTGTATAATATTAAAGTGTATCCGCAAGATACGGTGCTCTTCCGCATCACAGGAAAGGATCTCGACCAGTTTAGCAACGGATTTTTCCAGCAAATATGTATGAAAGCTGGCGGGCTGCAAATCAACACCAATAACTACTCCAGTTCTACCGGTTGTAACGGGGCTGCACCTTGTGCTTCACTTACCAGTGTAAACCCCAATGGCGCCTATTGCAATACCATTCAAAATACGGTTGAGTTTTTCTGGGTGCCAGATTGTGTGCACCTCAACTCCGGTAGTTGTGGCTCGGCCAACAACAAGTATTTCTTTACCATTCGAATGCAGGACAACGGTTGTGCTGCCCCAAAGATTGGTTTGGCTTCTGTTATTGTGGAAGTAATTGCGGGTGATCCTACACCCCCTCCTATAAAATGTGCAAATGTGCAAAAGGATGGTCGAGTTAATATTACATGGGATCAACCTGCACTGGACAGTGCACTAGATTTTAATTACTACCGAATATGGGGAGCAAGCTCGCCCAATGGTCCGTGGACCGTGGCGGACAGCATACCTTATTACGACACATTGAGTACCGTGGTAAACGCTCAAGGTCCTACTTCCTACTACTACATGGAATGGAGCACTGGTCCTTGCGACTTCGTATCGCAACCCAGCGATACGCTTCGTACCATGAGTATGACGATGACGGCCATACCTCCGGGGAGTCCCGAATATGCGCAGTTAAGCTGGACAGCTTTTGACCCCAACGGTTTGCCGGCCAGCAGCAACGGAGTGTACGAAATATGGGTGGAAGCCCCGGCCAACAGTGGAAATTGGCAGAAAGTAGGATCCACCACATCTACCAATTATGTAGATACGGTTTCGGTGTGCGACATGCAAGTGGCCTACCAAATTAGGGTGCAGGATACCACTTCCGGCTGTTACAGCGGTTCAACCCAGGATACCGGTACCTTCAAGGACTTAACCAACTCGGTTAATCCAAATGTAACGCGGGTATACGTAGATAGCACCAATAAAGCCGCTATTGAATTTCCAACGGATTCCATTGGTGATATTGTGGAGTTTTATCTCCTGTTCAATGATCCAAAAGACGGTTGGGTAGTAGTAGATACAATTGCCGGTGGCGAGACCTCGCCCTATGTTTGGGACGGTAGTATGGCGGGTACCCGTTCAGAAGAATTTAAAATAGTATCGGTAGATAGTTGCGGCAATCAAAGCGATGATTTAGCGGTTAGCCCCAACAATACGGTTTACTTGAGAAATTACCTGGATAAATGTAATGGTACTTCCCGCTTGAGTTGGAATGCCTACAACGAATTCCCCAACGGGGTAGATGGTTACCGGGTTTATGTTGAAACCACTGATGATAACGGAAACGTAACTCCGCAGTATCTCTTGTTTACCGCAGAGCCTGACGATACCT